ATTCCTGAAACCATGTTTATTGCCTGCTTTTAAAAATTTTACCCTGTCTTGCTTTATTGCTGGTTTCCTATCTTTCAGTTTACTGAGATACAGAATCACTTTAGTAGGAGGTGTGAACCTGTTGCTGGCAAAATTAATTCTGCTTAGTCACCAAAGAAGGCAGGAATATTTCCAGTTATTTAACAAGGATAAATTGGCTAAAACTATTTTCCTTGTGAGGGGCACCTTTGAATGGAATATTGTTGTCTTGAACAGTAAAACCTAAAGAAACCTCTGGAAGAACTTTTGGCAGGTAGCAAAAAAACCTTTAAGGAGATGAGTAATGACAGCATGGTCTTGCCTTCTGGATCCATCCCTGCAAGATTGGAGGAGAGAGGGAATTATTTACATCGCTAACTTGAGTGTACGATTTGATGCTCATTTGTGGTGAAATCTTTGTGTTACTCCTCTGGTGTCTCCTTCTGTCACTTCCCTTTCCTTGCATCAGCTCAGGCGCCCGGCAGCCCCCGTCACCGCGTCAATGACCGGACCAGGGTGGTGGGCACGTCCTGCTCTCTGCAGTTGTGAGTTCATGGAAAGCTCTGCGAGCAGCGAGGCTGGCACTCGAAGGGAAGGAAAATGGCGAGGCAGGAGGAATGGGAAGGAAGGGAATGCTGCAGAGCTGCCTGTTCACATGCTTGTGTGTTATGCTTTGGTATGATTGAGTTATGCTAACAGATTGATTATCTGCAAAGCCACTAAGCATCCTTTAAGTCATTTGTATTGCCCTTTGAAAGAAATCTCTGTTTACTTGGCAGCCTTTGGCTGATAACATCACCTGATGTGGGATGAGTGACATTACTACCCAATCTCATACTTAAAAATTATATTTTTTATACATCCTTTTTGAATGTAGGCAGTTTCTTAGCAAAGACAATTACCACAGATCACTCGTAAAACCATATTTTAATGTCCTACACTTCACCGAGGTAGGGGAAAAAAAAAGTTATCAGCTCTGTTTCATCATTGCTTGCTGCAGCACTAATTTAAGGGGGGATTATAACCCTAGAGTATGTTTAAATATCATGTCTGACAAAAGTGGCGACTTGAAGTCCTAGTGCTTTTCAGGAATTGGGAATCTAATCAGTAGTGCTAAATTTGTATCTGCACCTTGAATAATTTGTAAGCAATAAATGTTGACTGTCAGTCAGAGCAGAAAATGTATTCTTGATTAGACTGTAATAACATAAAGTGAATCAGCTTTAAATGAAACAAATGCTTTCTGAGTGAATTAAAGCCTTAGATACTCAAGTCAAATTCATCTGTGTAGTACACTGCCTTCCTCCTGTCCAATTCAACCATTACTCATTTTTGGCCTAGAACCAACTTTTTTTTTTTTTTTTTTAAAACTTTTTAACACTACCCTACCCATTTTTTTTTTCTGCTGACAGTACAATATAGGAAAAAAAATGTGGATTACAGTCGTTACATGGCCACTGC